TGTGTGGAAAAGACGCAGTCCTCCTCCGCCTCACGTCTTTCTCCCTCTGCAAAGATGAACATGGGGTACATCTCTGCAGACCTGGAGACAGTCTATAAAAGACAGGAAGGTTGAAAAACATCAACAGTGCTACAAATGTCATATTTGTTCCACCATGATGGCTGCTAAATACTGTCTGTAATAAAGCACCTGAACATCAACTCAGGCAAAATCCTAAAAGATGGTTTAAAAGCTCCACAGCCACATTTTAACAGGTCACAGCTTCAACAGAGACCGAGGCGACCCAGACTCCTACCTCATTAACAGCTGCACAAAGAGACTCAAACTCTGCTTGTCCTTTGGCATAAAACCCTATGGTGCAGCTGGGGTCCATGCGAGAGAACGGCATCTTCCTGGGATGTTTACAGTGAAACGACTGCAGGGAGTGAAGAGGAAAAATATAAATTAGAAAAGGATCTGCGTTAAAAACACAAGGCCTCATGTCCACTGAAACCAGGCCTTTCTCTGTGGTCGTCGTAAGTTGTGGCTTGTATCTGTGCGCTTGCTTTATTGTTGTTGTTGCTTAGCAAAATATCTAATGGAGAACTGAATTAATTTGATCAAATCTCCAGGAAAGATTAAATGTACATCTACAACCAAATGACTTTCAGAGTTTCAGAATCAGCTTTATTATTACTGGGATACAGTGAGATTATGTTCGTACAGTCGTCCGAAACATGGGTGGCGTGCACGTTGCTGCTGCTACAAGAGTGTGGCCTATTACACTTTATCAGAATACTTTTTTAGATAGGAAAAGGTAAAAGGCCATAAGGATAGATAGTGGTATTACAAAAAAAAAAAAATCTCTTTACATCTTGTCCTATCAGGACACGATTTGAGACATCAAAAAACTCTACCAGCAGCACATTTATAGACACGTTACATATGCATTTGACGTCAAGACGGTGAGATTCGTCCATGAAGCACTTCCAGATAGACCATAGTCCTGATAAGATGTTGCTGTTCAGCTGACAGTTCTGATAAGACTGCACAGGACTTCTCGGAGCGTGCGCGATGGACAAAGCTTTTTCCTTAGTTTACCCATGTCCCAGGAGAAATTTGATAGTTGGCTTGTATCCGAGGCCAAACGGGAGAGTCAGATTCAGATAAGCCAAATTGTTGATTTTCTTCAGGCAGACTGATTTTTCATGTCAGCCTTGAGTCCTGCTGGTACTTTCAAGATCCAAACTGGCCAGATTTATGGGTGTTCCATTGATCCGTGCTATGAGCCTTCTTCAAGGTTGACTCCAACATGCTTGCGAATCCTAGAAGCCGTAGGTGGCCTGTGATTCTCACAAATCGCTTCCATCTTACGGTTTAGCTCGTAAATCAGCAGATTTTGAGTACTCGTAGCATGAACCAAACCTTCACACAGACTTGGCAGTTTTGTCATGGCCGAAACTGCTGCCGACGTCTTCTTCAAAAGTCGATAACATAGGAACCCGCCGAAGCCAAAAAGCAAAAATCCTGCTATCATGAATCCAATTATTTAAACACCTTCGGCATCCTTCTGAGACAGAACTGAAAGATATATCAGCTGCCAAACTCCCCACAGATCCCTGATGTATACTGCAGCGTGAGTCTCGGCAGGACATGAGGGCTCTCCAGGACCCTGTCGTTTTATTGAAAAGATTTTGTCAATTGCATTGAAAGTTCAGCTCACAAGATCCATAATAGTATTCTTTGTTCGGAAGATGTGTACAAAGAGCTCCGAAACACACACAAAGAGCAAAAAGCAGGAGGAGGAGTTTAAAGTCAAGATAGCTACTACAGCTAATCAACATTAGCAAACACAAAAATGGCTCAAACAGCCATTATTACAGTTAAGATTAAGTGTAGTAGTAGCTGACATTTAACCACAACATCTACTCTGAGCCATAGCAGATTGCATGAGATCTTACAAGATTATGAATATAATTAGGTCTATTTTCAACATGAGTTTATTACTTTATTTTAAAAATTTGACAGCGGGCGATAAACATTCCTTGAGGGAATGACAGGCAATTAAGAATGACAGATCTTGCAAACGATAAGTGTTTCAGCATCAGGTGTTTATATACAGCATTGTTAAGTTGGACAAGTGAGGCAGTTCATTTGGTGAGCAAATGCTGAGTAACAGTGAACTACTTTGTTTCATCTACTTTTGAAAGCTACATATCATGTCAATTGTAACCGCCCCTGGTAGGGTCTCCCAAGGCAGATTGGTCCTAAGTGACAGGCCAGGCAAAGAGCTATTCCAAAAACTCATGTGGTCAGAATACAGCAAGGAGCTCAGTGTCCCTTGCCCAGATGTGGACTACCGGGACCCCACCCTGAAGCTAGGCCTGGGGGAGGGGCTTGTCAGCAAGCACCTGGTGATTGGGTCTCTACCTATGGGGCCCGGTCGGGCTCAGCCCGAACAAACAACATGGGTTTGTCTTCCTGTGGGCCCACCCCCTGCAGGAGGGGCCATACGAGGCAGGTGCATGACGCCATGGGCAGTGACCAAAAGCAGGAGTCTTTGCACGATTAAGCAAAGCTGGCTCTTAGGACATAGAGTATACCCCCTGTGGTGGGGAAGGAGCATGAGCTTGTGCGTGAGGTTGCGAGGTATTGACTAGATATAGTTGGACTCACCTTGATGCACAGCATGGGATACGGAACCAATCTCCTTGACAGGGGCTGGACCTTATTCCACTCTGGAGTTGCCCATGGTGAGAGGTGCCAAGCTGGTGTGGGTCTACTCTTAGCCCCTCAACTTGGCACCTGTGTGTTAGAGTTTTTCCCAGTAGATGAGAGGATATCTTCCCTGTGCCCTTTTTTTTTTTTGAGGGGGGGATGGTTTGACGGTTGTTTGTGCCTACACGCCAAACGGCAGTTCAGAGTATCTAGCCTTCTTGAAGTCCTTAGCAGGGGTGCTGGAAGGTGCTCCAGCTGGGGACTCTTATTCTGTTAAGGGACTTCAATGCCCACATGGGTAATAACAAGGTGACCTGGAAGAGTGTAATTGGGAGGAACAGCCTCTCTGATCTGAACCCAATCAGTGTTCTGTTGTTGAACTCCTGTGCTAGTCATGGTTTGTCCATCAAAAACACTATGTTCGAACATAAGGGGCTCCATAAGTGCACTTGGCACCAGGACACCCTAGGTTGTAGACTGATGATTGACTTTGTAGTTGAGTCTGAGTGGGCCATGTTCCGAGCCTTAACTGTTGAGGTAGCTGCCCTGAGCTGTAGCCGCAAGGTTGGCGGTGCTTCTCACGGTGGCCATCCTCAAAGTTGGTGGTGGACACCCTGGGTTAGGGAGGCTGTCAAGCTGAAGAAGGAGTCTTATCAGGCCTTGTTGGCTGGTAGGACTCTGGAGGAAGTTGAGGAGTACCAGAGGGCCAAGCCATCTGCAGCGTTGGCTGTTGCTGAGGCAAAAGCTTGGATGTGAGAGGAATTCAGTGAGACCTTGGATTGAGACTCTTGGTCTGCTCTGAGGAGATTCTGGCAAGCCATCAGGAGGCTGAGGAGGGGAAAGCAGCACTTTACCAACACTGTTTTCAGTGATGGTGGGGTGCTGTGGACCTCAACCAATGATGTCGTCGGGAGGTGGAAGGAATACTTCTAAGACCTTTTCAATCCCTCCTTCCTCCCTTCGATGGAGGAAGATGAGTCGGGGGACTTCAGGGTTGACCTGTCCATAATTGTGGCTGAGGTCTGCCCTGATTTCGTTAAGGCTCTGGGTGTTGTGGGGCTGTCTTGTTTGACATGTTTTTGCAACATCATGTGGACATCAGGGGCAGTGCCACTGGATTGTCAGACTAGGGTGGCGTTTCTTCTCTTCCAAAAGGAGGAAGGGAGGGTGTGCTCTAATTTGGGGCATCACTCTCCTTAGCCTCCCTGGTAAGGTCTATTCAGGGGTACTGAAGAAGCGAGTCCTACAGATGGTTCTACCTCAGATTCATGAGGAACAATGCGTGTTTCGTCCTGGCCATGGACTACTCTACCAACTCTTTACCCTCACTAAGGTACTCGTGGGGTCATAAGAGTTTGTTCATCCAGTCTACGTTTTCTGGACTTCGAGAAAGTGTTTGACCGTGTTCCTTGGGGTACAATGTGGGGGTGCTCCACAAGTATAGGATTGGGGGCCCAATGCTATGGGTAGTTCGGTCCCTATAGAAGCTGTGCAAGAATTTGGTTTGCATTGCCAGCAGTAAGTCAGATCTCTTCAGGGTGGGAGTTGGATTCTGCCAGGAATGTCCATTGTCACTAATTCTGTCCATAACTTATGGACACAATTTCTCAGTGCAGCCAAGGGGGTCCAGTTTGGTGGCCTCAGGATTCCTTCTCTTTTATTTGTTTTACCTATCATTATCCAGGTGCACCGTCATGTTAATAGAATCGAGCGTCCTGCCTACAAAAATGTCCTTCACCCAAAACGCGAACCCGACAACTTCCGACAATGGCGTAACGCTAAGCTAACAGCGTGCAATACAGACACACAAGCTGAAAAGATACAGACGTAGCACTCCATTTCTCTGACACACTCTCCCCCCCCCCCCCCCCCAAAAAAAAAAAAACCAAAAAAAAAAACCACACACACACTCATGGTCTTGTTAAGACAATAAAACCCAAAATGTATTTGTTTATGCTGGTATAAAACCAGCTTAAGTTGGGTAACAACCATGAACATAACTAGTTACATTATTTCAATGTAGATTTTATTTTCTGTGTCTGGATACATGTGGGAAACTTGGGTAAGTACAGGCGTGGAAAGAAAACAGAAAGCAAAGAACAAACAAAGAAACATGAATAAATAAATAAATAATGAAATGGTACCTCATACCTCTAAAGGAAAGTTCTTCTTTTTTATATCCACTGTGGGCTGACAGTAGTGAGGATCCAAGTACAGCAGATTGTCATCTTGTGCAGAGCAGAACCATAAGATAAATAAATAAAATGAAATGGCACCATTATCATGTAGTTTACTTTAACAAACCTACCCTGAAAGCCAATAAAGAACAACGAATGCTTTGGTTTGCCTCCGATAATTCCGATGCAGGACTCCAACTTTAAAAGATTCTGTAAAAAAAAAAAAAAAAAAAAAAATACAATTCAAGGAACAGGTTTCTTTCAGTGCAGCTGTAAAACTGAAGAGTTCATATGGAACTACACTCATAATTTAAAACATAAAAACAGAGTTTAAATACTTTGACACAAGTGATGTAGGACGGATTGAGCTCTTGCCCCCCGAGGCGCACAGGAACCAGGATGATGATGGATTTCCAGCAGTGAGGGTGGGGCCGTTCACACAACTTCCTCACATCCTGCAGGTAGACTAAACAAATACAAACATATAAAATACCCATTATACTCTGAGGGAAAAGCAACTCCTGTTTCGAAGAACAGATATTGTAAAAAAAAGAAGACACTCACTAGTGCAATCTTGTGCAATATACACAACTAGACTGGGAAGATCTGCTGAAGCTGCCACAGCTTTTCTGAAACACAATTCATTCAACCTTTATTTTTACAGGTTAGTCTCATTGAGCCACGAGGACTCGTTTACAAGAGAGACCTGTACAATCACACTGACTTCAAAAAAAAGCTTCTGAGATGACCTGAATTCTCAGTCATCACGTCTCTCACCGGAGGATATGTGACACTGTGGATGGGCCGTACCAGTCCCCGGCCTTCTTCCCTGAGCTTTTACCCAACTCCACGAGACGGTGAATCCCAAACGGGGCGTTGGGGTAGTCTGCGAACCAGGACACTATCCTTCTGTGTGTAGCCTCCATGGGTCTGTCCAGGAGGGAACCTAGGCTTAAATGTCGGATTCTTTTGTTTGTATCCGAAGCCCATGCAAACTCTGAGCTGTCTGAAGATCGAAGCAGGTCCATGTCATCTTTGACCTCGCAGTACCTCACAGACCAAGTCCAACCTGTTAAAGACATACAGAAGATATGCGAGGGTTGTGAAATAATGTTTTAAACATGTTTTGAAAAAGCCAGCACAGTGGAACAAATAGTCTTATTTCAAAAACACAGATATTTTGCATGTCACTGTAGTGACACATCAGTGGTTTATCATCAAAGCTTTTATTTTTGTGATACTTTAAAACGAGACATTCATTCTTCCTAGAGAACATTCTGGTTTTTAGATTTACACAACTCCTCAAGTTTGAACAGTGCGTACCATATTTTCCGGCCTATAATTTGCACCGGAGAATAAGTCGCATCTGTCCAAAAATGTCTAATGATTTGAAAAAAATCCATAAATACGTTGCATCTATTATGAGTCACCGCTGACAACCTGGAAATGTGAGTCGGTGTCGTGCCAAAAATCGATTGGCTGCCAAATGGCGGTCACGGGAGCATGCACGGGAGGACTTTAACAAGAATTTAACAAGATTAACACTTAAAAACAATTATTTATTTGCTCAACGTTATAGTAAAGTTGTGTCTCAGTCCAACTTTTCATTAATAAATGCACTTTGACGGTCAAATCAGCTGCATTTCAAAAGTATTTGCAGCCTCGGTGCTCCTGGAGTACGCAGAGGAAGAAACTCAGGAAGGAGGAACGGTGCATTTCTTCGAAATTTAACAAGACAAGCTAATAATAACAATTATTTGTTTGCTTGACGTTATAGCAAAGGTGTGTCTCAGTTGAACTTTTACTTAATAAATGCACTTTAATGGTCATATTAGTTGCATTTTGTCGGTGCGTTGCAGCGAAACAAAGCTGATTTGATGGTTGCTCCAGGCGAGATGGAAGAAGATGGCAGGTTAGGGCAAGCTGATTGTGTCATTAATAGCCACTTTTACCTATTACATTACACAAAGGCATGCCAAACTATTTGAGTGCCATCTAGCAGCTGAAAATTGTAGTGTTCAATATTTTCAAGGTCAGAATGAATGAAAACGGTCCTCAGCCAAAAACTGATTTATAAATATGAGGAAAAAACATAAATAAAATTGCGTTGGTGTATAAGTCACAGGGCGTGTCAACTTATAGGTTGAAAAATTTGGTAATAAAAAAGCTGTTATTGTGTACCAACTTTAAACGTGTGAAAGTGAACTCATTAACCTGATGGACCTTCTTTTCTATGAACCTGAGGATCCTGAGTAGAAAGATCTGCGTGGATGTTTGATATCACCTCGAGTCAGGATGGGAGTACTTTCCCAGAGTTGAAAAGTGTTAACAGAGATAACACAATAAGGAGCCTTTGTTCATTAACAAATATTCCTTTACAGAAATGTGCACGGTCCATCAGCGCCTCCTTTAGTTAACGTGCATGTTATTTTGATATTAATTCAAAAATGTCATTCCAATTTTTAATGTTCATGAAAAATGTGTGTCGAATAATCTTTTTTAAGCTAATATAATTTGTCTTATTTTTCTCTTTTAGAATTGAAACTTTAAGGCAGAATAAGGACTTGAGATTTAATTACGACAGATAAAGCTTCTTTATAAAACAAAGGCGATAAGTTTCAGAATCGTCTTACGACACCTGATGGGATGAGAACGTTAACAGGAACACCCTCTCTCGTGGCTGGACCAGTCGTGATGCCGTTTTTCACTCGCACACACAGTTGAGTTCAGTCTCGCCAGAGAAGAATGACGAGAAAAGATGGAGAAAAAGACTGAGCGTAGAAAAGTCCAACTTTTAAACGTTAGAATATTCATTTTAACTTTCAAGTCAGTAAAGTTCAAGTCTCCAGCATTTTCAACAAAGTAGCCAACCAAGCTGACCGTAGAGGTCACGACTGCCTCTGACGAGTTCCAGAACCAGTTTGGACTTGCAACCGTTTACCAGAACTGGGCTTGCACCTCTTCGCCTGAACCAGGCTGAAACCACTTCAGCGTCCCGCTGAGAGCCCAGTTCACTACAGAGCCAGAAGCAGAAGAGGCAGAGACATTCTGCTTTGCCTAAACACCATCAGGTCCACTTGGAGAAACATCAACCTCCATGTTAACCGATCGTTCAACGCACCTGCCCTGGACCCATGTGGGAACTGGTCCGCATCCTGGTAGAACAAAGTCTTTTCAATGCTCCTCTGGTGATCCAAAACATAGTTCAGCTTCAGAAAATATTTAACTCCTTTACAAACCAGATATTAATAAAAGTTTCTTCAACCAGTCCAAAGTCTGCCTTTAAATTTTCAGTAACTTTAAAACCTTATACTTTTCTTTTCAAAGACACAAAGTTATTTGAGATCAGGTTTAATTTTAATTTAATTTCAGTTGTATAATTTCACACATTATCCATACTCATATCACTGATTATTATATTTTTGTGATAAAATACACAAAATCTCACAACTGAACCTGTGATCATTTTAGCCTGTGTGCGTGTTTAATATAAAACAATGATTTCTTTATACACGGGAAAAGAATTCATGTTTTTCTGGGGTTAAATGGCGAGACTGATTCATGAATAGTTCATCAAATTCAGTTTTCCTCAAAAAGAGGTGGTGCCCCGAGAGTTTAATAGAATTATGAATCCTAGTTCATAAGGGATAATGAAGATACCCCAATGTTCTCAACATAAATTATACGAGTTCATATTATGTCATAACGACAGCACAATCGCTGCTAATCTTTGATTTAGGCCCCATCTTCATTATGTTGGATATTTTTTCTCAGTTCGTACAATTTTAAAGTTAGTGTCTCACTGAGCTGAAACTTTCGGGGGCTAGTTGGAAAAACAAAAATAGAAGGAAATTTGCAAAATTTCCACTTGGAATCGCACAAAAAAAATGTGTTTGCATGAATTCCTGGTAATTTCTCAAACTATGGATAATTGTGGACAAAAATACAGCTCTAAAAAGTCAAAGCTAAACTGAGAGAAGAGTTCCAGACACCTGTAACAACTGCAAGCATTTTAAACAAACACTTGGTTGTGTAAATGTTTTGAATTCATTCAAAATTCCTGCGATACACCAAGGTCTCTCGTGTTAATGTTTCACAAAAAATAAAAAAATTTAGTGTAGATGTCCAACATTTTTCAGTCAGGTCATCTGGACAGTTTCTTTTTTGGTGCTGAAACGTTTCACCTTCCATCCAGAAGGCTTCATCAGTCAAGGAAACACACAACAACACTGATTCTTCCCCCAACAGCTTACTCCAAAGTGGAACAAACCAGTTTTGTTCGTTTCAGCACAAAAAAAAGAAACTGTCCAGATGACCTGACTGACAAATGTTGGATTGTAATCCTGGATTATTGAGCATGGACTTTGTTGTTAAATAGTAGATACTCCCTCGCGAACGTGTTTGCAATAAAATAAAACCTTGTAATATCCATGTCATGCCACTAGGTGGCGTGACCCACATTAATGACAATATGCAGAGAAAGGCCATTATTAGCTTGCAGCTGGCTGTTTTTCTTTGGTAAAGTTTATAACTTCTGCTCAGTTATTAAATAAATCAGCACACAATCTGAGTTTAATAACGTCAGATTAAAAACAGGCGCAAGGAAAAACAATAAAAACAGATTTGTTGTTTTGGTTTCTAGGGCACAAAGTAATAGTGGCTATGTGTGAAACAGACAAAGTGGCAGTGACAAGAAACGTTAGCTCGACTGAAGTAACTACTTGCTCTACAGCATATCCAAACTATAGAATGCAAACTAATTTATTAAGATTACCCGAATGTAATAAAACTTTATGATTTAGTTTGAATGGTGCACGATCTGTAAGCATTCAGAGTCAGGGATGATTCTCAGCTACCATCGTATTTCAGCTGAGTATCTGTAAATCTGACTGAATTACAGGCTTTTTGGGTTTTCTCAGGTCACTTGGCTAAGGCGGACATCTTGAATTTAAAAGTTAATTACTTGTAGATGTGTATTTTTTAAAATAAACTTTCTGAGAGTTTTGTTCAAATCCATCCGATGGTTTAGAAGACATTTTGCTAACAGATCACCATGGGCAAACAACAAGAAGCAAAAACATTATCTGCCACTGAAAAGGAAAAGTTAGGCTACAAATCAGTTTGTTCTGATCATTTTGCTGCATTGTAGTCGTCACCTGGAGGCATCAGGTGTAGGAGCAGGCCTCGTGCCAGCAGCATCTGTCCTGTACGGAGAACACAACCCCACCCGCTGTCAGTGGTCAGAGAGGAGCCGGGCAGCGGGGAGAAGCCTCGTCTATACGTTAACCACAGCAGAGACGCAAAGGAGCGACGGAATCGCTCTTTGTCCCCTGGAACAATTAAAAAGATCAGGTTAAAAACATTTGTTCAGAAAAAATCAGGACGGATGTTTCATCGGCTTTACCTATATCCCCGACATCATAGCACTTTCCGAGCATGTTCACAGGAGAGCTCTTGTTGAATTTTGCTTTCTGCTTCAGGGAGAAGCCTTAAAGAGGAAAGCTGATTAGTGATCAGGGTCCCAAAAGGTCTTCAAAACAAACGTACGAGAGTCTAACCATATTTGACACTGTTCCACACCGACATCAGTCTGGACTTCAGTTTGCCTTTTTGCTCTGGCGGCCGATCCTCGCTGCAGCCCTCTTGGCTCAGTGGATCAGGTGATTCGTCGGAGAGGAAATGCCAGTCATCCATGTGGTCACTGACACCATCATGGTGAGAGGCGGCGGTGGTGGGGTTCATAGCAAGTGGAGACGACCACGGCTGTGTGAGAAGGTTTGCTCCTTATCTGCACAGAAGCCTGCAGAGAAAACAACAAAACTCCGTCTCATCGTGTGCATGTGACTCGGTCACATACAGTGAATTACACCATTACTGCTGCAAACACGCTCTGCCTTTAAGTGTGACGAGCTCAGTTTAGGAGTAAACACTCTGTGATCGTAAATGATAGTGGGTGAAAAACATCACATGACTGGAGGAATTTCAGATATTCAGCTGAGGTTAGACGTGCTGCTCTCACCAATGCCAACATGCTCACAGTGTGCTGGAGACATTTAACACAGGACTATGTGGCATTTCACAGGTACAAGCTAAAGAAGTGATCAACAGTTTAATGGTGGAGGGAGGAAGTGTTCAGGCACAAGAAACATGAAATGACAGCAACAAAAAAAGGACATTACACAAAAGTAAACGCTAAAAAAAAATCATTTGTAAATGAGAAATATAACAAAAGTCAGCTGAAATTACATTTCCAGTCTTTTTCCAGTCAAAACCAACTTTGTATTATTTTAATCATCCTAAAGTTCAACACAACTAAATCAACTGGAAAACATAACTTATGTTACTTAATAACACTTTAATTTCCAAACTAGTGACAGAGTACGACGTGGTTCACAGATGACAATATGAACATCAACATTCCAACTAATGAAGTAATTTAACTGGTCATAGTTTTAATAAAAGCTGAAATTAAAACAGTGGCGTTCAGTATGCTAGTAAAATACTAATTACCTTCATCTTGGCGGCTTCATTCTTCTTCCTTTAACTAGCATCACCTTCTGAGTACATTTATTAAAAACTGTGGTCGGTTTTTGTTTTCTCGCTGTTTTTATAATTTATTCCAACGTCAAACTGTGGAAGCCAGGAAGCAACCGAGCTGTTTTCTGTCACTTCCTGTTTATTATTGTCACGTGTTAGGGCCTTTTGTCATTGGCTAACAAAGGGCCAATCAGAACGAGGCTAATATGTTTTCCTGCTTAGGGCAAAGGCCATTATTTAAAAAATAAATTTCAGTTGTTCCCTTTAACCCCCCTTTGACTCGAATGAATTAATCTCGGAATTCAAATGTGAATAGACGATTTAAAGACAATGGAGTTTTAAATAATACAAACGTTACTTTTCAATAGCATTTTTTTTTTTTCATTTAGCCTTTATTTATCCAGGTAGTCTCATTGAGCCACGAGAACTCATTTTCAAGAGAGACCTGTTTAGGGAGCACATGGTGGGGGTTAAGGGCCTTGCTCGGGGGCATTTTAAAAATTTTTTATTGCAAATATAGAGCATACATGAATAAAAGAGAACAATAGAGAAATAATTATAAACCCAAATACAGCAAGCAGTCAAGGGTATTATAGACCACAAAACAGTATTTTACAATGTTAAAATCAAATCCCTGCTTCAAGGGCTGTTATAATTTTAATAGCTTTAGCATTTGAGCTTCGTTTTAAGGATTCCATATAAAGATTTATAGAAGATAATAAAATCTGGAAGTTAGGCTTTTGTTGTAAATATTTGGAGGTGTGAATATGAGATTTACCATAAATAATAAAAAGTTAACAACATATAAAGATTATGTTTTAACATGGTCACATTTCCCCATCCAGACATCCTTTTCTGTTAAAGTAATATTCACATTCTTTCGATGAAAAAAAATTGACATGTCCCTCCAGAATATTTTGGTGTAACAACAATCCCAAAACAGATGAACAAGCCAGAACGTACACATGGGGTCCAAGTCTCATTTATATATTTTTATGAAAAATGCTTTAACTGGATAACCATCCCTCCATCCATCCCTCCATCCATCCATCCATTTTCTTCTGCTTATCCAGGGTCGGGTTGCGGGGGTAGCAGCCTAAGTAGGGAGGCCCAGACTTCCCTCTCCCCAGCCACTTGGTCCAGCTCCTCCGGGGGAATCCCGAGGCGTTTCCAGGCCAGCCGAGAAACATAGTCCCTCCAGCGTGTCCTGGGTCTTCCTCTGGGCCTCCTCCCGGTGGGATGTATCCGGAACACCTCACCAGGGAGGCGTCCAGGAGGCATCCTAAACAGATGCCCGAGCCACCTCAACTGGCTCCTCTCGACGTGGAGAAGCAGCGTCTCTACTCCAAGTCCCTCCCGGATGATCAAGCTTCTCACCCTGTCTCTAAGGGAGAGCCCAGACACCCTGCGGAGAAAACTCATTTCGGCCGCTTGTATCCGAGATCTCGTTCTTTCGGTCACAACCCAAAGCTCATGACCATAGATGAGGGGCAGGACTTCCTCCCTGACCCGGAGAGGGCACTCTACCCTTTTCCGGCTCAAGACCATAGCCTCGGATTTGGAGGAACTGATCTTCATCCCAGCCGTGTTGCACTCGGCTGCGTACCGCTCCAGAGAAAGCTGTAGATCACGATCTCATGAAGCCAATAGGACCACATCTGCAAAAAGCAGAGACGCGATCCTAAGGTCACCAAAACGGATCCCCTCAACACCTTGGCTGCGCCTAGAAATTCTGTCCATAAAAGTTATGAACAGAATTGGTGACAAAGGGCAACCTTGGCGGAGTCCAACTCTCACCGGGAACAAGCCCGACTTACTGCCGGCGATGCGGATCAGGCTCTGACACCGGTCATACAGGGACCTAACAGCCCGTATCAAAGGGCCCGGTACCCCATACTCCCAGAGTACCCCCCTGTGGGGGGTACTC